ATACAAAAGAATGAAATTGAACCCCTACCTCACACCATATACAAAAATTAACTCAAATTGGATCAAAGACCTAAATGTAAAAGTTAAAACTATAAAACTCATGGAAGAAAACAAATGAAAATCTGAATGATCTTATCTTAGATAATGGTTTCTTATATATGACTCCAAAAGCAGAAGCTATCAAAGAAAAATAGGTAAACTGGACTTCATCAAAATTTAAAACTTTTTATGCTTCAAATGATATTATCAGAAAGTGAAAAGACAGTCCACAGAATGGGAGAGAATATTTATAAATCGTATATCTGATAAAAGTTTAGTATCCAGAATACATAAAGAACTCCTACAATTCAACAATAAAAACGCAAATGTTTCAATTTTTTGGATTGGACAAAGGATTCAAATAGACATTTCTCCCAATAAGGGATACAAATGAGCAATAAGCTCATGAAAAGATGCTCACCATCATTGGTCTCTAGGGTAGTGCAAATCCAAACCACAATGAGATACAACTTCACATCCACTAGGATGGCTATAAAATAATAATAGTAAAGGATACTAACAAGTGTTGACAAGGCTGTGGATAAAGTGGAATATGTATACATTGCTGATGAGAATGTACAATTGTACAGCTATTGTGGCAGTTCCTAAAAATTAAACATAGAATTACCTGATGACTCAGCAATTCCACTCCTAAGTATATACCCATGTTCACAGCCATATTATGTATAATAGTTAAAATGGAAACAACCTAAATGTTCATCACTGATGGATGGATAAGCAAAATGTGGTACATTCATACAATGGAATATTATTTAGCCATTAAAACAAATGAAGTATTGTAGCTGGGTATGGTGGCTTACACCTGTAATCCCAGCACTTTGGGAGACTGAGGCTGGTGGATCATTGGAGGTCAGGAGTTTGAGACCAGCCTGGCCAACATATTGAAACCTGTCTCTAATAAAAATGCAAAAATAAGGTCAGGCACAGTGGCTCATACCTGTAATCCCAGCACTTTGGGAGGCCAAAGCGGGCAGATCACCTGAGGTCAGGAGTTCGGGACCAGCCTGGCCAACATGATGAAACCCCATCTTTACCAAAAATACAAAAATTAGCCAGGTATGGTGGTGGGTGCCTGTAATCCCAGCTACTCAGGAGGCTGAGGCAGGAGAATTGCCTGAACCCAGGAGGCGGAGGTTGCAGTGAGCCGAGATCGTGCCATTGCACTCCAGCCTGGGGAACAAGAGTGAGACTTCATCTAAAAAAAAAAAATTAGCTGGGCCTGGTGGCATGTGCCTGTAGTCCCAGCTACTCAGGAGGCTGAGGAAGGAGAATTGCTTGATCCTGGGAGGCGGAGCTTGCAGTGAGCCGAGATCGTGCCACTGCACTCCAGTTTGGGTAACAGAGCGAGACTCCGTCTCAAACAAAAAAAAGGAAAACAAAAAGGAATGAAGTATTGTTACATGCTACAACATAGGTGAACCTAAAAAAATTATACTAAGTGAAGGGATCCAGACACAAAGGGCACATATTGTATGATTCCATTTATATAAAATGTCCAGAATAGGTGAACCCATAGAGACAGAAAGTAGATTAATGGTTGCCAGGGATGGGATGAGAGCGAAATGGGAGCTAACTGCTGATAGGTAGGGAATGCTTTTTGGGGTGATGGAAATGTTCTGGAATGAGATACTGGTGATGGTTGTACAACATAGTGAATACACTAAAAACCACTGAAGTGTACACTTTAAAACAGTGAATTTTATGTGGTGGGAGTCATATCAATAAAAATGTTTCATAAAGCAAATAGCAAAGATGACACACTTAAATCTAACCATATCAATAATTACATAAAATACAAATGGACTGAGATAGCTTCAGACAGTGAAGGCCATCCAGCTAGCTACTTGTTTCATAATATTTTCTCTTAATGCAAATTTTTTTGAAAAAATGCACAAGAAGAGTAAAATAAATCTACTCAAGGTAATGCCCTCAGCAGAACTTGAAATTATAGAAGGTCAATACTTCAAAACAGCTGTATGAAAAGAAAAAGCACCAGATTTTGGTATGTAATTTGCCATGTTCCCGCCATACCCTTGCCCTGCTATCAGTCTTTATGGTCAAGTAAATATTTGGAAAAAAACTGTGGGAAAAAAAGAAGAGAGGACCTAATGACAGGGCCAAAATTTGGTCTAAAATCACTTTAAGAAAGACTAAGCACTCACTAAGTCTAAAAATTCTGAAACATAATCAGATCAGAACAGGGAAGTAAATTAAAAATATAGATAATTTAAAGAGGGAGTCTGCAAACTGTATCACTTCGGAGAAAAAAACGCAAAGGGTGAGCTTTTTACTTCATGGTCCTGGGACAACTGGATAGGCATTTAGAAAAGAATATTAGACATATACCTACTGGCACACATAAGAATAAGCTGTAGGCAGGGCACCATAGCTCACACCTGTAATCCCAACACTTTGGGAGGCTGAGGCAGGGGCATCATGAGGTCAGGTGTTCAAGACCAGCCTGGCCAACATAGTGAAACCCTGTCTCAACTAAAAATATGAAAATTAGCTGTGCATGGTGGCAGATGCCTGTAGTCCCAGCTACTTGGGAGGCTGGGGCAGGAGAATCTCTTGAACCCAGGAGTTGGAGGTTGCAGTGAATCGAGATTGCACCACTGCACTCCAGCCTGGGTGACAGAGCAAGACTCTGTCTCCCCCACCCCTTTGGCAATAAATAAATAAATAAATAAACATAAACTGCAAATAGATAGAGCTCTAAATGTAAGTGATGAAATCACCTACTAGGAGAAGACAGGTAAATTCCTCTTTAACTTCAAAGTAGGGAAAGGGTTCCTAACTATGGCACATCCAGAGCAATAATGGACTCGAGACACCCTGCTAGGATTAGGATGGGTGTTCCTGGCCCAGGGACCTCACTGGGTCTCCTGGTGCCCTGCCACCCCCGCACCCCAGGCTGGCATTGAGCCTCTGAAACCTTGACAGCTTTCTAGAAGTGTCTAGAAGTTAGGTTGTGCCATGTGAAGTTGCTGTTTCTGTAGGTCAAAAAGTGGTGGAGTGTTGGCAGTTTCTAGGCACCTCTGTTCTGGTTGATCCAAATCCTCCAATCTGTAGTAGGTTTATTTAGCATTCATTTTGTGCCAGCCACCTTGCTAAGCAACTTACAGCCAGTTTTAAGCTGTCACAACTTTGTGAGGCACAGGAATTGGTCCCCATTTGACAGAGAAGAAAACTCTGGCTTAGATTTTCCCCTTTTGCAATTGTTTTAGGGGGCTGGTCTGCCAAATGTAAAAAAAAAAAAATAGCAAAAAAATCCAGAGCAATAAAGAAAAGATTGATAAATTTTACTTTAAAAAAATTTTTTTTCATGGCCAGAAGAAAGTATTCCATAAAGTTATAAGGTAACTGATGTGGTGGGTAAAAATATTTGCAATGTTTACTACAAAGGGCTAATATTACTAGAATACAGGGTTTTATTAAAAATTGAATGGCAAAGGAACAAAACCCTAAAAAAGGGAAAAAGAAAAATGGGAAATGACCTGACAAATTTACAGATTTATCTCTTTGTTTCTGTCTCTCTCTCTCTCTCTCTCTCTCTCTCTCTCACACACACACACACACACACACACACACAAATGTTCAAACATGAAAAAATGTTGAAACTCATAATCAGTAAAACAAAACAACACTGAGATACCATTTCTTACCTATCAGATTGGTGAAATTAAAAAGTACGATGCCACATTCTTTTGGTGAGACTGTGGAAAACAGATGCTCTTATACATTGCTGGCAGGGATGCAAATTAGTGCAAGCCCTTTGGAGGAAGATTTGGCAATATCTAACAAAACTAATGCACTTACTATGCCTTTTACTTTATTTTATTTTTGAGATGGAGTCTCGCTGTCGCCCAGGCTGGAATTCATTGGCACGATTTTGGCTAACTGCAACCTCTGCCTCCCGGGTTCAAGTGATTTTCCTGCCTCAGCCTCCTGGATAGCTGGGATTACAAGCACCCACCACCACACCCAGCGAATTTTTTGTGTCTTTAGTAGAGACAGGGTTTCACCATGTTAGCCAGGCTGGTCTTGAAGTCCTGACCTTGTGATCCGCCCACCTTGGCCTGATCCCAGCACGTCTCGGCCAAAGTGCTAGAAGTACAGGTGTGAGCTACTGTGCCTAGCCAAGAAATCTTATACACATCAGTAGTCATTTCAGTAGTCATTTCCCATTCCTGCCCCACCACCATGCAACTACTACTCTCTTTTCTGTCTATGAATTTGCCTATTCTGATGCACTTCCCTTGTGATCCAGCAATCCTACATGTAAGGATCTCCAACAATACGAAAATACATATGCATACAGTTATTCATTGCAGCATAGTTTGTATATGTAAAATAGGAGAAACAACCTAAATACGTATACACAGGAGAGTGGGTGCATAAACCAAGATACAGTCACATGGGGGTACTATGCAGCTGTAAAATAGAATCAGGATGATCTCTATTAACCGATATGGAGTGATTTCCATGAGTGAAAAAAGCAAAGTGCAAAAGAGTGTCTACAGTATGTGTCATAACCCAAATTTTGTCCCTCCTGACAAAATATATATATTGAAGTCCTAGGCCGGGCGTGGTGGATTATGCCTATAATCCAAGCACTTTGGAGGCCAAGGTGGGCAGATCACCTGAGGTCGGGAGTTCAAGACCAGCCTGACCAACATGGTGAAACCCCGTCTTTAAAAAAAAAAAAAAAAAAAAAAAATATATATATATATATATATATATATATATATATATATATAAATCCTAATACCCAGTACCTCAGAATGTGACTCTACTTGGTGTTACAGGGTTTACAGAGGTGATTAAATTAAAATGAGGCCATTAGGATGGGTCCTAATTCAATCTGACTGGTGTTCTTAAAAGAAGAGAAAATTTGTTTTTGTTTTGTTGTTTACCTTTTTCTTACTTTGTATTTCTAGCCAAAGAAGAGGAAATTTGAACACACAGAGAGATATCAAGAGCATGTGCACAGAGGAAAGACTGTGTGAGGACACAGTGAGAAGGCAATCATCTCCAAGCCAAAGAGAGGCCTCAGAAGAAAACAAACCTATCAACAACTTGATCTTGAACTTCCAGCTGCCAGAATGTGAGACAATAAATTTCTGTTGTTTAACCAACCCAGTTTGTAGTATTTTGCTATGGCAGCTCTAGGAAACTAATACAGTATTATCATTTTATATAATAAGTCTTTATTAAAAATATAAAAATTATCTGGGAATGGTGGCGTGTGCCTGTAATCCCAGCTACTTGGGAGGCTGAGACATGTAATAAAATATACATATATCTGCTTATTTGTGCAAAAGGAATGCAGGAAGTATAAACCAGATATTAATAAAATTCTTTACCTACAGTGGGTAGGTGGAAAGAATGGGGGATGGAAAAGGGTAGCAGAATGGAGGAGGGGAATGATTCTTCCCAGAGTATACTTTGTTGTCTGACTCTTAGAATAAGAGAATAAGTAGACTGGGCACAGTGGCTCAAGCCTGTAATCCCAACACTTTGAGAGACTGAGGTAGGTGGATCACTGGAGGCCATGAGTTCAAGACCAGACTGGCCAACATGGTGAAAACCCCTCTCTACTAAAAAATTAGTTGGGTGTGGTGGCACATGCCTGTAATCCCAGCTACTTGGGAGGCTAAGGCAGGAGGATCATTTGAACCCAGATGTTGGAGGTTGCAGTGAGCTGAGACTGTGCCACTGCACTCCAGCATGGGCAACAGAGCGAGACTCAGTCTGAAAAAAAAAGAAGAAGAAGAAGAGAATAAGTATACCAAATAATACCCTGGTATTATTTGACATACACAAAAATAAATAATTTAAAAAAAATCAATCAGGTTGTGAGGCAAATTCAACATGGAATAAAAAGGGAAAAAATGAACCTAACTTTATTACACATGAATAATATTATCACATTGACGTGGATGGAAAAGAAGTAACAGAAGAAATTTTGGAAAACAGTATTTTGACTATACTCTGGAAGGTTAAAGATAAAAAATTGTACACAAATACTGTACTCTAATTAGCAAATTTATTCTTTACACTGGTACAGGTTAGCATTCTTAAATTACTTTTATGTGTATACTAAGATTGAACAAATAACTAAATATATTCAATAATGAGAATCAGGTTTATCATGTAGGAGAAAGAAGTCATAAATAAGGCTGGACACGGTGACTGACACCTATAATCCCAGCACTTTGGGAGGCCAAGGTGGGTGGATCACGAGGTCAGAAGTTCTAGACCAGCCTGACCAACATAGTGAAACCCCATCTCTACTAAAAATACAAAAAATTAGCTGGGCATGGTGGCGGCTGCCTATAATCCCAGCTACTCAAGTGGCTGAGGCAGGAGAATCGCTTGAACCCAGGAGGTGGAGGTTGCAATGAGCCAATATCTCACCATTGCATTCCAGCCTGGACGACAGTGCAAGACTCCTTCTCAAAAAAAAAAAAAAAAGCTATAAATGAAGAGAAGGGTTAGGCCAGAATGAGTTCTTTGGGGTTGGATTGGAACTGGAGGTATCAGTATGATGTCATGTTTTTAACTTATATGTAAATGGATAGATACAGAAAATAAATATAGATGTGTATGTAGCTGTGTTTTAGTACACAGAGACATATATGCTCATACACATACCCTGATATCAGGGTGTCAATGCTTTCAGTTATTTCAGAAGATTGAAAAGTGTGTGTGTGTGTGTGTTGTGTATAGTTTAAAAAACTACCAGAAAAGGTATCTCTATTCCTTGATGATTTCATAGTTCACAGAATGTATTATTCCATTTTTATGACATCCTCAAAAAGATAAAACTAAAAAAAAAAACTTTTTGTGGGGATGGAACTGTTCTATATCCTATTTGTGGTGGTGGTGATGTAATCTAAACATATATTAAAATTAACTGTATACCATAAAATTCCATTTTACTATATGTTCAGTTTTTTTAATTATTATTTTTTGAGATGGAGTCTTGCTCTGTTGCCCAGGCTGGAGTGCAGTGGCATGATCTCAGCTCACTGCAACCTGTCTCCTAGGTTCGAGCGATTCTTATGCCTCAACCTCCTGAGTAGCTGGGATTATAGGCATGCACCACCATCCCCAGCTAATTTTCCTATTTTTGTATTTTTCTATTTCACCATGTTGGCCAGGCTGGTCTCAAATTTCTGACCTCAAGTGATTTGCCCACCTTGGCCTCCCAAAGTGCTGGGATCACAGGCATGAGCCACTATGCCCAGCCTAAAAAGTTATTCATAGACTCAGGACTCCTTAGATAAATGGTAAATTTAGTGAACTAACTGAACATCCCAAGTCCAAAATCCAGAATGCTCCAATGAGCTTTTCCTTTGAGCCTCATGTCAGCACTCAAAGCATCAGCTTTTGGAACAGTTCAGATTTTCAGATTAGTGATTCTCAATGTGTATTAATCACTTGATCTTCCTAGTTCTTTTATAAACAAGCCAAATGTTCCATGTAGGATGTCTCTGAATTTCACTGAAAAACTGGGTTGCCAATGTTAATGAAAATGTGAAAAGTGAATGGGACTGTCCAACATATAGAAGTATAAAATAGCCTGATAAATTGGAAAGAGCACTGGGTAAGACATCAAAAGGCATCCAAATATACTTCACAGTTCTGCCAATAACTAATTACTTAATTGCTTTAGGCTAAATTTGTTTTGGTTTTTTTAAATATGTAAAATGAGTGTTATATACTATATTATCTCCAATAACTCTTTTTTTCTTTGGAACAGAGCCTCTCTCTGTCATCCAGGCTGGAATACAGTGGCATGATCATGGCTCACTGCAGCTTTGATCTCCTGGGCTCAAGCAATCCTCCCCACCTCAGCCTCCAAAGTAGCTGGGACCTCAAGCGTGTGCCACTCTGCCTGGATAATTTATTTATTAATTGTAGAGACAGGTCTTACTATGTTGCCCAGGCTGGTCTCAAAGTCATGGCCTCAAGTAATTCTCCCATCTTGGCCTCCCAAAGTGCTGAAATTATAGGCGTTAGTCACTGAGCCCTACCAGAACTCTTCTAATAATAAAGTTCTATGAGGAGGAAATGGAGATAAAATTGGAAATGTTTTGCCTAGCGAAAGTCCCCATGCACAACATGGTTATATGTGCTCAAGGATAGACAATAAAAAGTATTTAGTATGCTTATTTGTCTCGTTTATCCACAGAGAGTGAACAAACCCTCCTTGGCTTCAGGAGTATGAGCGATGAAGAAAATGACACGAGGAGCTCTAGAACACTAAGGAAAGCTTTCAAATCCAATGGGATGGCCATACAGGTCAGTAAAAGAAAGACAAAAGTGCAGAGGAAAACAGTTCTTTTGTGTGTGTCACATTCTGCGCTAATTACTTTATATAACTACCTTATTTACTCTTTGCTTGTGATGTAGGTTTACTGTCTCCATTTTAAAAACACTTTTTGCATCAATGAGAAACTGAGGCTCTTAGAGTTTAAGTGATTTGGAAGTCTGCACTGTCCATATCCCATCCCATCTCTGTCCAGAGACTCAGATTCTTCCATGAAACATTTCTACCTCTTCTGTAGAAACTTCTCTGACCATCCTGGCCCACAATGATTTCTTCTAAGTTTCTCTAGTGCTATTGCCTGTACCACCAATTTTATACCTGTAACACTTCACAATGTTGGTTATATTTGACTTATTTATCAATCAGTAAGCATTTACTGGACAGCCACCATGGACCTCCCTAGGCAGTGAGGATACACAGGTGAATAAGACACAGCTCTTGCACTTAGGAGTTTAAATCTAATGGAAGAAACAGCCTCATTGGTAGTAAATACCCTGGACCAGGTGCAGTGGCTCACACTTTGGGAGACTGAGGCAGGTGGATCACCTGAGGTCAGGAGTTCAAGAACAGCCTGGTCAATATGGCGAGTAAATTTCTACTAAAAATACAAAAATTAGCCAGATGTAGTGGCAGGCACCTGCAATCCCAGCTACGTGGGAGGCTGAGGTATGAGAATCACTTGAACCCAGGAGACTGAGGTTGCAGTGAGCCGAGATCGCACCATTGTACTCCAGCCTGGGCGACAAGAGTGAAACTCTGTCTCAAAAAAAACAAAAACAAAAACAGTTTATAAACACCCCAATCCTTTTTTTTTTTTTTTTTTTTTGTGAGACGGAGTTTCGCTCTTGTTACCCAGGCTGGAGTGCAATGGCATGATCTCGGCTCACCGCAACCTCTGCCTCCTGGGTTCAGGCAATTCTCCTGCCTCAGCCTCCTGAGTAGCTGGGATTACAGGCACGCGCCACCATGCCCAGCTAATTTTTTTTTTTTTTTTTGTAGTTTTAGTAGAGACGGGGTTTCACCATGTTGACCAGGATGGTCTCGATCTCTTGACCTCGTGATCCACCCGCCTCGGCCTCCCAAAGTGCTGGGATTACAGGTGTGAGCCACCATGCCCAGCCTACCCCAATCCTTTTTAAGAGTACATCACTTTCTCTACTTGTCTCTCCCCCAGTTTGGAACACTTACATTTCAGCTCAGGTAGAGAAAAAAATCATACCAATAAGCCTGAAAGTAGCAGAACCAAGCCTTAAGGGAAAAGGGAAAGGAGAATTTTAACTAATGAACTACAGCAGCCAATATTTCATAAACCCCAAGGATAAAACACTGCAGAAGTAACAATTGACTTAAAACCTAAATTCTCCTAGGCGGGGCATGGTGGCTCATGCCTATAATCTCAGCACTTTGGGAAGCTGAGTTGGGAGGATCACCTGAGGTCAGGAGTTCGAGACCAGCCTGACCAACATGGAGAAACCCAGTCTCTACTAAAAATATAAAATCAGTGGGGCGTGATGGTGAATGCCTGTAATCGCAGCTACTCAGGAGGCTGAGGTAGGAGAATCACTTGAATCCGGGAGGAGGAGGTTGCAGTGAGCCAAGGTCATGCCATTGCACTCTAGCCTGGACAACAAGGGCAAAACTCCATCTCAAAAATAAATAAATGAATAAATTCTCCTAAGGGATAGTGCTCTTCCCTGGCAGAGGGGGTTTCTGCCAAACTATCAGCCCTGTGTCAATATACAATGGCGGATAGAGCCCGGCATGGTTGGGGGACAGAGGCAGGGAGAGGATTACTTGAGGCCAGAAGTTCAAAGGCCAGTCTGAGCAACATAGTGAGACACCATCTCTATTTAAAAAATGAAGAGAAAAAGAAAATAATGGCTGGTGGCACACTGTTATCTTAACCTTCTCCATGGAAGGAATCAGGGAGGAAGAGTCTCATTTTCTGGTAACTAGACATGGCTTTATGAATAAGACTATCTATTCCAGCCCCTGTTCTAGCCAGTTATCCTACTAACAACAGATTCCTAAGCTAGACTTCCGACGGAACAATAACTTTCTAAAAGGTAATGAAAGTCCTTAGATAAAAGTTATATGAACAAAGTCTGGTATATGGAAAAGATACTGCTCAGTTTTGGTTTCTTCTGAGTTCTTTCGGTCAGTCTGGATCTTGCTTATCAACAATTCTAAGTTCCATTTTTTCCTTCAGTTTCATGTCCTTTGATACTGAATCAATTCCATTTGATTTAATGAGCAACTTCAATACACAAAGCAATAGGTACTTAAGAGAATAAACATGAATAGGAGAGGATTCCTGCTTCAAAAGTTGATAGTCATGTAAATTATTATCCAGAATATAGATCTGGAAATGTCATGTTCTTGTGACAACTACTTATGCTCTTCAGAGCCATATATAAAAGCCGTGTGTGTGTGTGTGTGTGTGTGTGTGTATATATATATATATATATATATATATATGTATATATATATATATATATATATATATATATATATATAATATGGCTTAGCTTATTCCACCCCATACTGTAAGATTAAAATTATTGCCATCTCCAAGGTTCTGGGCTGTGCTATGTTAATATGGAGTTTTGGTCATTCCTACTGAGAGGCTTGTCCCAGAAATGAACATTGCAAGCATTCTTGAATCAGAGAATCACTTAGTCTTATCACACCAACCTAGGATTTGAGGAAGAGAAACGCTAATCCCTGTGACTATCTAGGGTATCCACCCCACATCCTTTCTAGACTTGCCCCTGAGTAATATAATCTTCAACCCAAGCCTCATCCTGTCTACTAAGCAAGAGGTAAGGCAGGTAAATAGATTTCCTCTAAAATGTAGAGGGTAGGGTTAAGGGAACTGAAATGAATTGAGCATCTACCATGTACTATACATATCATAGCTTGTTTAAAGCTTACATTAGCACTGTAGAATAAGTCTCATTGCCCACATTTTACATCTTAGGAGAGAGAGGCCAAAGAGGTTAAATAATTTGTCAGAGGTCACAGCTAGTAAGTGGCAAAGCTTACTAGCTTGGAGAATGGTAGCAGAGTTCTAGTTCAGAAAATCTGTTGGATTCTGGCTCTACAGGGGCTTTGACATGGTTAAGAGACATTTCAGATTATCAGACTGCTTCAAAGCCATGGGCATTAGGCCCCCACACAGCAAGCTCTACTCCAGGGAACTTCAGACTCTGCTTGAAATTCAATTGCATCAAATGCCTTTAGTCTCAACAGTTTAATTTTTGCACCTTAATTTCAGGCTGCTTCCTGATGAGAAATGTGATAGCTCAGTTGCCATCAGCAAAAGAACTCATACCCTTGCTGAGTTGGCAGCACCCTGGGAGGTAGAAATCCTTAAGGCAGAGAATCCATGGAGCAGGAAGATATAGAGGCCCCTTAGCCATGAAAGCATTGAAGATCTGGGAGGCCAGGCAGAGTGGTCAGAGGGATGGTCCCACAGCTGGAGGTCATCAACAGCCCAGAGTTGCATAAAAAGCAATGTGAAGGCAGGGAATAGCTTTGGTCAGGCTGCCAAAGTCACTGAACCAAAGCTGGGATCCTGAGTTCACCAATCCTTCCTACTCAGTAATATCTACAGGTAAGTCCAAAGGGGAATTGCTTCAGGAATCTGACAATTTAACTCTGCTGTGCTGATACAAGGATGTCTTCACCAAAGCTGGAAAGAAAATGGGCCACTGATGATGGCATGATTTAATTATGAGGCCAGCTCTCATTTTTCTATTGGGAACTTGGCAAGAATTCTCTAGACAGTAGACAATCCTTAAATCACTTATATATGACTTTGGAATTTGGGATAGCTTTGACAGCAGTAGGATTTAACTTCCTGATTATGTTTACCTTGGGTTGAAAACTGACATAATTAGCAGTCTTTGGGAATCCACTGATTGGCAGATGAGGCACAAAGGAGAACCAGTCGGTCACTTAGATATTACCGTCAATGATACACCAAGGGGGAATTGAGTCATAAATAAATAATTTTGGTAGTAGTCTTAAGTTGGTTCTTTGTAGTATTTGGTCATAGCACTAAAGTAGGCTGGGGAAAAGATTCATGGGCCAGAATTCTGAAATCTTTGGCTTCGCTACATACCTGTTCAGAGAGAATTTCTTTTCAATCTGTCTTTTCCTTGGCCTCTAAAGTTCTTCTCAGAGTAAAAGTCAATCCCCTGCTCCAGACTAGGGCCAAGTATGTAAAGGTTTGTCAGTTTCATCTCTGTCCACAGGCCTAGTCACTTTAAGCTGGCCTATCCTAGGACTGGGAGTTTACTGATGTTTTCATCTTTCTCTTCAGAGGGTCCTGAATTTCCTAAACTGCCTTTGAGAGACTCAGATATTTTATTTTGTAAACAGCAGTGAAAAACATTATGTATCCATCGCTAATGTTATCTGTACAAAATTAAGAAGAGATATTAGAAGGGATACAAACCTAGAATGCCTTTTGGATATGGCCGGTGAGGAGTGTTCCTTGATAGTTTGTTTTCAGTTCAGTGCAAGACACATCTGAAGCACATCACTTACTGTAAATGACCTTGAAGAGGGGAAGATACTTTGGAGTTGTTCTATCACTTGAAAATGGGGCAGGACCGTTACAGGAGTAAATATAATTGTTTATCAAAATACAGACCTCCAAGTCCAAAAGGAGAGAAATAACTATTATTTATATAGTTCTAAGGAGAACCAGTTCTCCTCTACTGGTGTATGGCATTTCCACATCTTGCTTAGACTTCAGGCTGAGCCTATTATTGGTTGGAAGTGGGAGATGAGGGGGTGTATTACAGAAAATCCATCTTCCCCTCAGCCTCCCAGGGTCCTATTCAACTCCCAGATCAACTTTTTCTAAGTTCCCAATATTTATTGAGCGTATTTATGTGTGCCATTCTACTCTAGTTGCTAAAGGGGATACAAAGGAGAAATTTTACACAAGGTTGTAGAGCAT